CATCGGGCCTCTAGTTGTAACATAAGCGTATTAGCTTGATGAATTTTTTACAAACTGAACACATCCATGGAACCAACCCCTCTCAGAAGCACCCTGAAGCGCCTTCACTTTCCTCTGCAGCCACTAGCCCATGACTTCCCAGCCACAAATAACGGCTATCTGACTTCTGACACCAAAGATTAGTGCCCTTGCTTTTGAACCTCATGTAAATGAAATCATTAAGTATGGTTTTGGTGTTTAGCTTCTTTTGCTCCATAATAGGTTTGTGACATTTATGTACTATGTTATTAACTTTCATAGCTATATGGAGTGCTACTTTATTAATATCCTACAATTTATTATCCAGTCTGTAGTTGATTGACATGTGGGCTGTTTTCACATGGAGCAATTATGTATAATGGTGCTATGAACTTCCTTGGCATGTCTTTAGGTAAACATGTGTACTTATTTTTATTGGGTATATACCGCAAAGTAAAACTGCAAGTCAAAATATATACATATGCCCAAGTTTGTTAAGTACTACTACTAATAATCCATTTATTGTGCTGTATACAATGACATACAACAATGTACCAATGATTACAATGTAAAGTTGTACCAATATTTATTCCTTGTACCGGTGTAATTCCTCTTCCTTTATTCCTCTTCCACGTATTTCAGGCAGATATCTAGTGTTTGCAATTCTTTGCTTTAGGGTTCAGGGCTAAGTATAAAGCAGAAACAGGTTGCAGTTAATGCCCTTCTCATTTTTAATGCCTAAATTGACTGGAGAGACAGTATTGATTGGCCAGGAAGAGTAAATTCTTTTAACGAGAACTAAGAGGGCAAGGAGGGTAAAAGACTGAGAGAGATTCCCTTGGTCTGAAATAGGATGGAGGCCAGGGTATCTAGGAGATAGCAGAGCCCAGAGGAACTGAATAACTACTTATGCTTATTTTAGTAAAGTGACTATATCATTTGTTATCCAAATCCAGCCGCCTGAAAGTGATAGGGTGTGTACTAATAATTACAGTGATAATGGGTGGAAATCCACACTTTTCCAGGCAAACTGGAATTATTTTAGGTGGCCTCCATGGAAACTTGTAAGTGCAGTTGCTCACGTCTTTGAAAGTTTCTTAGAATATTCACGTAGCAGATCGTAGGGAGAGCAGCTTTGTCACTGGAGAATGCCCAGACTAAAAACCTGAGGTACAACTCCTGTTACACCGTGAGCCTGCACACGTTTATAAAGTGAATTCATGCAGGTGAGTGTGTGTGCTTTATTACTTATTCATGGAACATTTTGATCTTCTCCTATACAGCAAAGGCCTGTATGGCCCTTAGTAGAGCTGAGAGCAGGTGGTCTTCGTGGTGGTGGTGTCTCCACTGTTCTGAGCACCTCATGGAGCTAGAAACCCGTCATCTGAGGTGCTCTCTCTGTAGCACCTGCAACTCTGATCTAACTTTTTGTTGTTGTTATTATTCTTAAAACTCCCTTCAAAAACTTGGGAATGGTGGCTAACATAAGTCTGGGACCACGCTTCCTTAAAGATTAAGTATTAGAGTTAATGAAGGAGAGGGAAAGCAAGGCCCCAACCTTCCACAGGAGGTCCCTGAAGTAAAAGGGAAGGGTGAACGGCACACCTGAGTCCTGAGGTGCTACGTCAGCATCCTCATCCCAGCCATAAACAAAGATTGCAATTTCTTCCCTGCAGGGACCATCAGAAAAATTCCCAGGGGAAATGGTGCCTAATGAGGTGCCTGAGGCCATGCAGTAGCATAAAGCTCTCATGATATGCGAGCCCGGGTCCTGGTGAGACGGAGGGTCGCTATTTTTTTCTCCTGAAGTTGACTTAGACCAGCTGAGAAAGTCCACACAGAAACCTTGGTCTATTCCTAGAGCATCTGGAGACTGGGGTCTCTAGAAGCTCTGATTCTCAGCACCAGGGGCACCAGAAGAGTTCATACCTGAAAGCTGTCTGCTTCATGCACTGACACCATCTGCTCCTTCGGGCTAAGGGAGAAAGAGATGCACACAGCTCAGCACTGAGGGAGCCAGGAAGAAGGAAGGGGAATGTCTGAATCCCATCTTCTCAGATGAGCTTCTTGTAAACCCACAACCAGCAGGTCTAGGATGTATTGATCCTTCCCCTGCTCTCAACACTGACTTTGATGGAGTGACGGGGCTGATAGGAGGAAGGTGAGTAGGGGACAGAGGACCCCATGTCTGGCTGGGAGAGGGAGACAGAGACGGGGAGACATAAGAGCTCTCTGTACATCCTAAAGCAGTTGGCTGTGGGTTGTACTCCTGGCTCTTGGGGTGTCTTTCTGGGAGTCCTTGGGCAGCCAAGTGAGGTATTCAATCTCCTCATCTCTCAAGAGGGAACAGAATTCTTTTTAAAAAAATATATTTTCATTGATTTTAGGAAGGAAGGGAAAGGGAGAAAGAGATGGAAACATCAGTGATTAGAGAGCATCACTGATGGGCTGCCTTCTGCACGTCCTCTACTGGGGATCGAACCCACAACCCGGGCATGTGTCCTTTGACTGGAATCGAACCCAGGGACCCTTCAGTCCACAGGCCGATGCTCTATCCACTGAGCCTAACCAGCTAGGGCGGGAACAGAATTCTTGCTGCCCATGCTAAGAAACTCTAGCCTAGATTCATGATCACCCAGGGGAGCTGAGATATCGTCACAGTCATGCTGTGAATAGCTAAGCTGGGGGCATAAGTGAGAGAGCGTTACCAAACCGAAGTCCAAAGGCCTGATGCTTCAAAAGGCTAAAACTCAACACATCAGGGTTTGAAGTAAGTAAAGGTTTATTGATTGAAAAGGTGCCAACCAAGAAGATGGGGGACCTAGTGGTGCCTCAAATCCATCTTGCTTGCTGGACTGGGTTAAGGGTTTTTAAAGGGCTAAGGGGAACAGGTGTGCGGAAGTGCTGGTGGGACACGTGTTCCCTGGAGGACCTTGGAACTTGGCCATTTATGGTAAAGGGATGTCAACACCAGATCTTCCTGCACAACAGACCCTTGGCTTTTGTTGTTCGAGGGTTCCGGTGTTCAAGTTCCGGTTATGTCCTGGTCCTATGGTCCCATTGGGGTGGGGCCGGGGAAGGGGACGTGCAAGGTTTTGGTTCCAGGCGCAGCTGGGGCCCAGGTTCTCTCATCTGTGCATGCTTCACCTGCATGACTTGTGGTTTTGGTCTGTTGTCTCTGAAAAGCAACTGAGCACCTCATCAAACAGAACAGAACCATTCTGAGCTGGCTCCACAGTTACAAGGAGAAAGGCAAAAGGGAGGGCGTCTATACATGATCTCATCTCTCCTATCATCCATGCTTGTGCCTATCACCAATCGATTGTATTTTACCCCTTGTTTCCACAGACAGCTCCCCAGAAGAGAATGGTTCTGAGAAACAGCTCCTCGGTGACTGAATTTATCTTTGGGGGATTCTCAGAACAATCAGAGGTCCATGTCCCCCTCTTCTTCCTGTTCTTAGGCCTCTATGTGCTCACTGTGGTGGGCAACTTGGGCTTGATCACCTTAATTGGCCCGAATTCTCGCCTTCACACTCCCATGTATTTTTTCCTCTTCAACTTGTCTTCGATAGATCTCTGTTATTCTTGCGTCTTTACTCCCAAAATGCTGCACGATTTTGTGTCAGAAAATACCATCTCGTACACGGGATGCATGACTCAACTGTTTTTCTTCTGCTTCTTGGTCAATTCTGAGTGCTATGTGCTGGTATCCATGGCCTACGATCGCTATGTGGCTATCTGCGATCCTCTGCTGTACACGGTCACCATGTCCCCCCAGGTCTGTGCTCTGCTGATGTTGGGCTCCTATGCGGTAGGGTTTGCTGGGGCCATGGCCCACACCGGAAACATGCTGAGACTGACCTTCTGTGGTTCCAACATCATCGACCATTACCTGTGTGAAGTTCTCCCGCTCTTGCAGCTCTCCTGCACCAGCACCCACGTCAACGAGCTGGTGTTTTCTATTGTCGTTGGGATGGTCATCGCAACATCCAGTATCAGCATCTTCATCTCTTACGCTTTGATTCTCTCCAGTATCCTCCGCATTCCTTCTGCTGAGGGAAGGTCCAAAGCCTTTGGCACATGTGGCTCCCACATCACCGCCGTGGCTCTGTTTTTTGGGTCAGGGGCCTTCACCTATTTAACAACCTCTTTTCCGGGATCTGTGGGCCGGAGTAAATACGCTTCAGTCTTCTACACCAACGTCGTGCCCATGCTTAACCCTTTGATCTACAGTTTGAGGAATAAGGATGTTAAACTTGCCCTGGGCAAAACCCTGAAAAGAGTGCTTTTCTGATGGTTCTGTTTGCATCAATGAATTACTGAGAAGCAGCATGGTATCTTTTTATCGACAGGTGGGGAGATTTTCATCTTGTTTCTCTAGTAGGGTCTTCTCCCCACTTTAAAAATTGGAAACATCTTACTTATAGTCTTCTTGGGGATTATACTGTGTTGTACTACTTAAACTGGTCCATTGTATGAACTTAGCAGTGATTAAGTGGTTATAATTGACTTGACTCTATCGTAGGCCCAAGGGATTAATAAGATGAGGCCCCACACGTTCCCTCCTTTTCTCGGTAGGCTAACTGGGTTCTTGCCAGTGACATGTCTGGCTGGGAGATGGAGCAAATGGTGGTATGAGGATCCAAGTGAATTTGGATTTTTTCTATAGGAGCAGCCTTAGCAAAGACCAAACGTAGATACCTTGGGGCCATAGGTAAGATAGTCTTCCAGTCCCCAGAAAGATTGCTTGGCTAGGAAGATCATACATTGTCTCTTTCATATCCATATTTTGCAGAGAAGGCTTCCCCTAAGAGTTCTTCACATAGTCTGAACTGTAAAGATAAATCAAAACTAAAATGTTTCATTTCCAAGTTCCAGAACTCTTAGGCCTTGGAATAGTAACCATGGGGTAGGCGGTCTTGTAACTGGGTCAGTTCCTTGGGCTCTGGGTGCTGAGGCTGAAAGCAAAAGAAGAACAAAGGAGGGGCTCCATGGGCGCACATGACTATGTTCACTGCGGTCTCTGTTCTGCCCTGGAGATCTGTGTGCATTATGGAGGGTTTGGGAAAATTCTTCTATCCTTTAAAGTACCTTTAGACTTTATCGTCTCTAAGAGCATGTGTGTGTGTGTGTGTGTGTGAGACAGTTAACTATTAATGAATCAGGAAGAAAGAAAAGTCATATTACACTCTCAACTTGCGGGAAGACTTGGAAGGACCCAGAATTCGAGTCCAGAAACCACTCATAACTAGTCGGTTGAAGGTGCTGCTATTCTTGATGCAATAGCGTGGGTTTTGAGGAATACCTCCCCAGAACCTGCCCTGAGCACAGGCAGGAAGGTGAACCTTGGGCCAGACCTCCCCTGTGGAGAGGCGGGGAGAATTTGAGGGGCCAGGAGACCCAAAAAGACCTGTTTCTACTTAACAGAAGAAACCCAAAACACTAATTTGAAAAGACATGTGCATGTGTTTATTGCAGCGTTATTTATAACTAGAGGCCCAGTGCATGAAATTCGTGCACTGGGAGGGTCCCTAGCAGCTGCCAGCTGTCAGCTGGGTACTCCCTCTCTTCCCCCAGGGCTGGCTCCACCTCCTGGTCGAACTCCCGGACAACTCCCGGTGGAGGGGACAATTTGCATACTACTCTTTTATTATAGAGGATACCCAATAATGGAAGCAACCTCATTTATCCTCAATTTAAAGTACAGCAT